ACCGAGGAACGCGCCTGTCCGCGGGCCTGGAAGGGAGTTAAGGCAGTTAACGCCGCGGGGGGTGGGGGGGGTTGCCCTTGCCTTTTTAGCCATGGGATTGCTGCATCTTCTCCTCCCTTCCCCACCCTCTTTCCAAAGAAAAACAGATTGAAAAAACCATGGTGGGTCTAAGGTGGGAGGGGGTGCAGAGCGGACAATAACGCCGGGGCAGCGGAACAGCGACGATGCAGCCACGGGGCACCCGGCACACGTCAACCTGTTCACCCTCACCAACCTGCCCAGGGTTCAAACCAAACCTTCCTGTGCGTGGCAGGGTCCCCGGTTGGTAGAGCCGGGCCGCGGTGGCACCTGCCACCTCTTGTCACCTCTCTCTGGCACCATCGGCGCGTGCGCGGGGATGGCGGGAGGAGGCAGCGACTGGATGATGGGGCAGAAGAAGCTGTAGCCAAGCTTTGCAGGGGTGGTGGGGGGGAGGTGGAGGCTTTTGGGGCTGAGGGAGGTAACTCTGCTTCTTAGCATCACCTGCACGAGAGATCAGCCCCCCAGGTTCTTACCTGCATCCATCAGATGCAGGTGCCTAAACCTCGGGAGGGATGTTCCCAGATATGCCAGTAGCCCTGCTGAGAATGGGCACAGGACTGTGCCCTAAGGAGAAAGGCTGTCCTGCTCCTGGAGTTGTTCAGATGCCCATGGATGTCCATCACAGCCCCTGGTTGCTCCCCACTTGTCACGTTTAAATCTCCACGTCATCAAGAGTCTCCCCACAGGGAAAAGACCACGTTTTGGGGGCGTTCCCACTTTCCAGCTTGGCTCTGTGTCCAGGTTGGATGTGGGAACAGTTTTGGCCTATTTTTTGCTAACCAGAGCCTTGCAGACATGGGAGGGGGCGCACTGGGGGCCTCCCTTTTTCCCAAAAGAAATCCAAGGTTGCTGGTGACTGATGACACAGGGGTGACCATGTCTTTCCTTGGCTTTTGGACTGTAAGGAAGGAGCCCTCAGGGTGAGTGTTGACTTGCGAAAATACATTGAGGCCAAGAAAAATTAGGAAAGCATCCCAAAGGGAACAGTTCTGCAGCCCCTTCCTACAAGAACCTGCCCAGACAGGGTTCCCTAAGGGGTAGACTTTGAGAGATGCAAGGAAGGACCTTCTTGGAGAAGGGGGGAAAACACAGAGAAGCCTCTTTCCCAGCTGGCCCATCGGAAACGCCATCAGATCCCACGTGCTGGTTGTCCCCTGCTCCACACCCCGCACTGCACTCTTTGGGGTCCCTGTGGCCAGCTGGCTTCCTCCCCTACTGGTATTCAACCCACCCGTGGGTGGCCCTGCTGTGACAGATGCTTTCCCAGCCCTGGAGCCCACGGAGTCACCCAGGGTTCTCCCCGACAGCAGCTGGCAGGCAGGGGAGCTGGGGACAGCACGGCACCTGCTGCACGCTCGGCTGCCCACTGGTGACAGGGAACCAAAAGTGAGGGGACAACAAAGACCCGGGGCCTTTTACCATCTTCCTGGGTGGGAGAGGCGTCCTCGTCCTCCAGCACGTCGTTTCCCTGTGGCACAGGGGAGAGGCAGTGAGTGTTAGCAGCCCCGTAGCACCCCAGCACCCTGTGGGGGCCATCCCCACCTCCCTCTGGGTTGAATATCCCTTTCCCCCAGGGTTTCCATGGGCTGAGAAGATGATCCTGAATAGAAGACAACCCCACTGCCCAATCCATCCACCCATCCTTCCATCCACCCATCCTTCCATCCACCCATCCTTCCATCCACCCATCCATCCCCAGGGCAGCCCCGCAGGAACATGGATGTGTGGGCAGCCCCTTCCCAGCCCAGCCCCGGGGGAAGGTGGTGCCAGGGTCCCCACCCAGGGGCACAGCTGGGGTCCCCTCACGGTGCCAGCACAGCTCCCGGGCACGGTTACCTCGGCGTCACGCTCCTCGGCTGAGATGCTGACAAAGTTTAGATCCGGGGACTCCACAGGGGTTGACTGTGGAAAGAAGATGGGAAAGATGGAAGGAACAACAACAACAACAGGGCTGGTGCTGGTGGGTTTGGAGAAGTACCATCCCGCAGGGAAGCTGTTGAACCTGGGGGTGATGGGCACCATCAGCTGTGTCCCCCCCAGCCCCTACCTCTCCATCAGAGGCTGTGGCACTGGCGGCCGTGGGTGAGGGGACCATGTCCCCTTCCTCCTCTTCTTCCTCCTCAGTGCCTGGAGCAACGTAGGAGCCAGACATGGAGGACACGGTGTCAGTGCTGAGCTGGGAGTGCTGGCTCTGGGAGGAGGCCATGGACATGACAGACTGGGCCAGGCTGCTGCTGACAGGCTCTGGGGGAGAGCAGGGGCTGAGTGAGGCTGCTGGACCCCCCAAGTCACAGCACAGAACCATCTAATTGGAAAGAGGGTTAACGAGGAGGAGTGGGGTGCCATGGAGGGGGGATGGGTGGGAAGCTGGAAGCAGCTTTTGGGTACCCAGGGCTTACAGGCCCCCACGGTCTATGGGGTGGTGAAGCAGGGGTGATCATTGTCCCCATGTCCCCACCTTCAGGTCTGTGGGTGATGAAGCAGAGGTGACACCCCAAGGACTTCATGCAATGTCCCCACCAGCCCCTGCCAGCCGTGCTGTACCTTCTGGGGATGAGATGGTGGAGGAGAGGGGGGTCCCGGTGCACGAGGACTGGTCGATGGCTCCTGATGATGACAGGGTGAGGTTTTCACTCTCCGGCGTCGCACCACATTCCTGGAAGGAGAGCCCGTGGGGGGGACAGGAGGGAGGATATTCAGCAGGGCTGGATCCACCTACCCCAGGCATCCTCACGGATGGAAGAAGAGCCAGGAGGGGCAAACCCCAGCCAGACCCTCTGGTTCCAAGCCTCCCCCTCAAGAACCTGCCACCCCCCAGCGCCTCAGCCCATCAGCAGCACGTTTTGGAAGGTGCTGACCTCCTGGTGCCGGGCAGGGGATCTCCTCCTGGACACCCTCAGCTCTGACTCCGTGCACGACTTCTCATCCTCCTCTTCGGGCAGGATGGAGGAGTTCTGCGAGACAGACCTGCCCAGAAGGGACACATCAGGGGGCTTTGCCCCCTGCCCGCAGCCCCCAGACTCCCACGCCCACCCCGGTACTCACTTGGAGATGCTCTTCTTCAGCCTGAGCCCCGGGGGGCCGCAGTCCGGGAGCCGCTCGAGGGGCGAGAGGGCCCGCAGGGGGGGCAGGGGCCCCTCGCTGCCGTAGGAGGGCAGGGTCCCCACCCCCGGGGGGTCCCCCAGAGCACGCAGTGGCAGGGCAGCCGGTGAGGGTGTCAGGGGCCCATTGAGGGCCTCCAGCAGTGACACCACCTCGTAGCCTGGAGGAACGTGCTCTGAGGACTGGGGAGAGAAGGGAGAAGGGGTGAGGGTCCCTCCCGGGCTGTTTCACTGCTTCCCCTCACCCCGCTCCCCAAGGAATCAGGCTGCACCAGGGAGAAGCTGAAACCCAGAGAACGGACAAACTCCTCGCACAAATGCACAGCCCCAATGCCACAGCCTTTCCACCCAACCAAAAGCCCTGTTTGGGGTTTTTTTTTTACAAGATCAGTTTGCATTCAGTAAAGAAACCCTGGGCCTGGGAAGCAGGTCCATCCCCAAAGCTCCCCAGCCTGGCCTCAGGTGTCCCAGGCACTGACCGAGGGCTCCTCGGAGTCGGAGGCCTGCGAGGCGATGATGGGGTTGAAGCTGGTGGGGGAGAGGGGACCCAGCTTTTTCCTCATGGCTCGGATTTGCAGCAAGGCTCGGAAAGCTGCAGCTGCAGGGATGAAGGGTGGGGTGAGAAAATGGGTGCTGGAAGGTTACACATCCCCCCCCCCCAAACACACACCCACCCCCAAACACACCCACCCCCCACCCAACAACCAACCCGC